CTGCACGTTGGTCACCCGCAGCCTGTCGAGCTGACCCTCCTGGTCGACGGCCCATCCGTCGACCAGCCTAGTCAGCTGCATCCGTCAAGCTCCCCTGGTCGACGGCTCCAGCCACACGACAGTTCTGTGCAGGTCGACGACCATTCACGTCGACCTGCTCTACAGAAGAAGGCCGTCGAGCTCCTTGGTTGACGGCAACACCACAGTGATCTCCTGCAGCTCGACGAAGCCCGTCGAGCAGCTCCCTCACTACGTACGGTCGGCTGCTTCTCCCGTACATCCGAACAAGTTGTCGAGCAGGTTACCTGGTCAACCTGATCGACCTCCCAGTGCTCTGGTCGACGCCTCCCTCGTCGACCACAGCTCCCGTCGAGGGACACCCAGGTCGACGGACCCCTCTGTCGACCAGCATTGTCAGCTGCTGTCGCCGAGCTCCCCTCGTCAACTGCCGCTCACATCTCAGGTCGACGGACTGCTCCGTTGACCTCCAGGGACGAGTGGCCTTGGGGCTGGCCGGTTGGGGTGCCTTAGTGTTTGGTGTGTGGGTTTCAGTGTACACGCACTCTGACGGTGTAGCTTCACTTGTCTTGCTTGCTTGCTTGCTGGCTAGTTTGCTCGATGGCTTTGCTATCATAGCCTCTTGATCACATACATGCTTAGACAATCTAGTAGCCACCACCTGCCATGCGTGTACCTTATGAATCCTATAAATGCATGACTGCTTGAGAGAGAGAGAGAGAGAGAGAGAGAGAGAGAGAGAGAGAGAGAGAGAGAGAGAGAGAGAGGAGAGGAGGAGGTGGGCGGCGGCTGCAGCTGCTAGCACACTGGCAACTGGAGCAACTTGCTCACAGGCTACTTGGGTAACTGGCTTATGCCTGGAGCATCCCGATCGTACGACTAGAGCAACTGAACCACGGGCGACTGGAGCAACGGGCTCACTGGTGACTAGCGCTGCTTGCTTCACAACGGCCACCCCCCTCCAACCAATCCAACCTCCCCCCCCCCCTCCCCCCCAAACCTCACCCTCACAACGGCGGAGACAACTGGAGCAAGGAGAAAACAAGAGGAGGAGGAAGAAGCTGGAAATGGAGAGAGAGGAGGAGAGGAAGTGCAGCGGAAGGAGGAGGAGAAGGGGGGCCGCTGCCTTCACATACCCACCACCTCCACACCCTCCTCCCCCCCCCCCCCCCCCCCCCCCCCCCCCAACGCGGCACGCACTGCAGATGTACGGGCAGCGATGAGGAGGAGGACTAGGGAGGGGCGGGAAGATTCAAGGGGGCCTCAGACATACAGGCCGCAATAGAAGCATGGCCTACGGAAGCTACGAAAGCTACCCGTGGGCCGCGGGCCACGCTTTGGGATGTACGGTGTCGAATCTGTGACCTGTAAGGGGTGAGAACAATTGTGCGCCCTTCCACACGATCCATAGCCACCACATCAGCAAAAGCTTGCTTGAACGGGCAAGAGGTACGGAGACTTTTCTGCTGGTACATCTTGAGTAACTTGGCAACACGGTCATCAGAGGTGACCTCGACTTGAAGCATCTCGAAGCGCCCCGAGATGTATTCAAAGGTGGACACGACCATTTTGAGCCACCACATCGCCCTGCTATAGCTTGTACTCAGCGTAATTCATGTAGGCCCTTAGGTGCTCCAGTGGCTCCGTTTTCGCCCACACGATTGGGAGAACGAAGGTTGCATTCGAAAAGCGGGGTTTATAGAAGAGAGGGGGTGGGGGAGGTGGAGGTTTCCCATGGCGGTAAAATTTGCTGCATTGATTGGAACCTCATCTATGTTGTCTGACTCGTCGTTGCCTGCTACGGCTTCGGGGGCGCTAGTAGCCTCCTTGTCGTTGCAACGCATTGATGCTTCTTTCGTTACTCTCTTTTTCAATATTTTCCTTTATAGCAGATGCTCATCCTTTAGGTTGTGTTGTTTCGGTTGCATTCACAATAAAGATTTGCTGTTATAACAGGAACAAGAGTGCATTGGCTTGGTCCGGGGCCAACGCTTAGACGAGGCTTGTTCAGGCATTGCGTCAGACAAGGTAGCCGTACGGCACTTCTGGCGCTGATGCTACGAGCCGGGGGGCACATATCTCGTTGGCGCATGCGCTACGTAAGTTGCGTCTAGCGACATGTTCGCCAATGGCGCCAAGGGTTGTCATTGCTGCTGCTCTGCGTTTTTGTTAACGTCGAGCCTGCCCAGCAGCACATCCACGGCGGTCGGGCCGGACGTTTCGCCGTCTACCCGGTGCTTGTTGCGACGATCTGCTATCGTTTCCCAAGCGTTACGGTCGTTGTCGAAAAATTCCAGATCGTTGACGACGTTATTTGTGCGGTTAAGTATCGCGTCAGCCATCATATAGAATTTGAAATTAAGTATATCGGCTATTAGAGCCAAGGAGATTTGCCTAGTGACAGTGTGTAAGTTTTTTTAGTTGGAAAATGTCGTTTAGCGCGCGTTGATGATGATGCCAAATGTGCAACGCAAGCAGCTTTACTTTCACAATATACCTTAAAAAGCACATTGCGTGTTAATCTTTTTATGACATTGCATAACCTCCTACTGGTTACCCAATAGTTGTAGGTCAACAGTTACGGTCGTTCATTTTCCATCTCCCCTTCATCACATCCTCTATATACAGCAAAATGATGGAATTGGATTATGCATACACTAAAGGAGGGTAACATTTGGTGTCATTCCGAAATGCTGGAGATTTGTTTTCCTAATTATTCCACCATGCCTCAGTCCTGATATAGATATTCAAAATATAGAGAAGACTGAGCATGATTTAGATCGTTGTAGGCTGAACAGAATATTGTCGGGTTATGCATGCCTGTATAGTGTACGTTGTGCACACCGCACTGCTAGAAACGACAAAAACGCACCCTGAGGTCTCGTGGGTTTCAATCAATGTCGTTCGTTACGTCATCTCACAACCTCCAGTCTCTGTTCGGGTCGCCTGAGACGCTTGACTCTGAAGGTAGTGTTTGCACTGTACGCTTCAGGTCGTGTTGCTATTGAATTGCAGATTAACTATGCTGTTTTCGGTTCATGAAAATACCAATTACTGCTCGTCTTGAACGTCGCTAATCCTGCTTTCATTGTCGACTTAAGTATGCTTTGGACGTGTAAACGCGTTGTCCTGCTGGTTCACACTTCCTCATGTCGGTTTGGGCCTTTCAACTTCCACACTTACACTTTTTTTTCTCCACCGGGTTAGCCCCGCCAGGGAATTCGCTACGAGGCGGCGCGGCCGACATACCACACCTGACAGAAGCATCCGAAACGACCAGCAGGGTGCGCCTTAAAGCCGGAATCCCAAATTGCACAAGTTTTAAAAGGTTGACGCGAGCGGGTTTTTCTGGTTTGGGTTTTGGCGAGTGATTCCGACTTCGCGAAAGTCGTTTGTTTCGCCAAACCCAGCCAACCCTAGTATTTTGCCCCAGGGGTTGGCTCAGTCCCCGAAAGTCCCAAATTGTAGGTGTTTTTTTCGAAGCTTGCACACTGCACTTCGTCAAGTTTAAAAGCATGACCCACGCGCCTCGCAATTTTGGAATTGGGCTTTAAGTTTCTCCGAGCGTAATTTCAGGGCCCGCGCCAGCCCCCCGGCCCCCAAGCCAGCCCCCAAGACATTGTACCAGGAGACACTTCACCACTCCCCCCGAAAACTCCTATTTTGAAAGTCGCCCCTTGATTGACACCCCCAGAGAAGTGGCATTGCCAAGTCAAGCCCTTGACTGACCACATCCCATCGAGGAATTTGCATGACTTTTTGTCATCGAAAGTGAAGTCAAGCCGAACTGAGATAACGTGGCACCATCTGCCAAAGGATTTGCTTCTCTCATCTCACAGGCCACAGCGTCTCAGTGGCTCAATCTCAGACCCGACTCGCAAATGCGCGGTGCGTTAATTCTTGAACACCCCATAAAGCTAGTCCTTCTCCATAAAGCTAGTCCTGTTCCATAAAGCTACTCCTGCTCCTAGCCCAAGCTAGGGACACCCCATAAAGCTACTCCTGCTCCTTGTCCTTCATAGCTACTTTCCTTCCACCAGCAGTCCTGTATCCAGAGGCAATCCTTGGTCATTTCCGCAAGGAAAGCTCAACACTTTCTTTGTTCCGAGTCTCAGATCAAAAGCATGAATACACGCGGCGCTTCTGGCTGTTTCTCCACTGGCAGAAGAGCCGCGGGAGCGACATCGTGCTACTGGTTCTGTTCGTCGCGGTGCTTCTGGGAGCACCCTCTCAGACTGTAGCACCTCCTCCTGCTAACCAGAACGCACCGCACGGCCCCCTGACAAGACCCCGCGGATGTTACAAGAACTGCGACAGGCTTAAAATGGGGTACCGTATTGTCCAGCCCGCAACCGACACGAGGGCGAGGCGCGTAAATACACTCGGGACCTACAACTACGAGCGCTACGATATCCTTGCGACTGCGGAAGTCATAAACTCCACAACGACATCCGGGGTACTTACTACCACAGTGATTTAACCCTCCTAGGATACTGCTTTCTAACCAACAAGATTCTTGCGTTTCTGTCATTGTCTTTCAGCAGCCACTTGGCGGCGAATCACTAAGCTTAACAGGCTATATCATGCTCCTTCTGTTCCATATTGCCGCTGCCCCTCCTTTTTCCAGCACATGGACGAATTCATTGAATGCTGTCAGAAGTGTGCCAAGCAGATAGGCTGCAAGTTCTGGCATCTGAGTCAAGCGCCGGGCCAGCTGTAAGCATCGCCACTGACGTTCGTTATCCTTGTTACCAAAACATCATATTCGAGATTGCAAGCATCGTTCATCATCATAGTCTCTTGTCGAGGGCCCTGTACTGTTTTCTTGCCCTCACACCGTGTGAAAACTTCTTTCCTTGTACATTATCCTTCCACCGTGTGACTCGTTAACACCTCCCGTTTTCCTCCTAATGATCGCCTCCCACTCCCCCCTTAAACGACTTATTCCCTTCCGCGTGACACCAAGCAGTGGCGAATGCGTGATGCTGGGATCGTTGGCGGGCGTCAACGTGAGGAACTGGGACACAGCCATCCCTCCATCGTACCTGGGCGGCGAGTGCAACGTCCTTGCCAACACGGACGACGATCCGCATTTCCGAGGCGCAGACGGCACCCGCTACGACTTCAATGGCCTTCTCGACCGTTCCTTCTGCTTGCTCTCCGACCGTCGAATCCACGTCAACATGGGAATTAAGGGTTACCAGCCCATCGCGAATCTTCCCGGCACGGCTTGCTGCAGCGCTGAAAGCGGCGTCCAATGAGAAGAAGCCACGTCATATCAGGCAGCTGGAGCAGGAGAGGCTGAGCATGGAGGAACTGGGCGAGCTGGAAAGAATGCGGACCAACGGCAGTCTGCCGTTGACTGCTGAGGTGGTGGCGGCGCTCGAGCAGGAAATGGGTCGTCGCAGCGGCCGAGAAGGTGGCGAGAGTGGAGGGGAAGAAGAGAAGCAGCATTCAATTCAGTACGCTGAGCATGAGTTGAAGGCGAGGCTTCTGAAAGGAAAGCCGATTCGCAGCTGGATCAGGTAGATGACTGGTACCTGTACATGATCCGGAGTTTTAGCATGTGCTGTGCTTTCAGTTTCTAGCAAGCCTCTCGTTCTCTTCTGATGCTGCACTCATTCATTTGTGCCTTGCAGGGAGCTCCAAGTGATGTGGCGTGACTCGACTAGCGCGCAGCACTCAGCGTTCTTTAAGGCGCGCGACGGCAAGGAGCAAAGGAGGGGCAGCAGCGGGTTCGTCGACCGACTGGAGCTCGACGGCTTGCCGGTGGCCCCGCCTCTCTCCGCAGGTTCTTCCATCGTTGGCAATGGCGGGTTCAAGCTGCTTCTGGCGGAAACACGGAGCTGCAAGGGGAAAGACGAGGACGAGTTTCATCTCACGATTGACGGCGTGGTGGATATGGGCATCACGGCGCGCTTGGCGCATCCACTCATGCAGACGGCTACTGAAGCCCAGGCTCATTTCAATGTGCACATTGACGGGCTCAATGTGAGCAGCATTTTTTCTTCTTATTCCTTCCTTCCTTCCTTTCAGCTTTAAGATTGTTTCTGTGCTGTGCCTGGCCACGTGCTGTCATGATAAACATTCATGGCTTAGGTATTGTAACTTCTGTCACGTTGTCCCATGCATTCATCTTCCCTTCACCCATCTACCTCCCCTCCCCTGCCTCTCGCCCCCTGTCTCCCTCCCCCCTCTGCAGCACACAAGCGGCATTCATGGCGTGCTGGGTCAGACCTTCCGAGCCGAGGAATCCCGCAACGTGCGCTCGCTGCGGTACCGCCTGCTGACCCGCCTGCTGCGCGAGCCGGTGGAGGTGGAGAGCGAGAGCGGCAGAGGGTTCCTGGATGGGCGCACGGAGGATTATATCACGTCGGATATTCGCTCTGCAGATTGCATGTACGCCGCTGTGTGGCGCAGGGGCGAACACGAGCACAGCGATGGAAGCGATTTCATGTGACAAGGGGTTGTGACACAGTGCTGCAGAGTCCTTTTCTGGGGGGGGGTTGGGAATAATAGTCACCCTTTACACTGGTCAGATAGATAAAGATAGCCTAATATCTAAATAAGCTCTCATTTGCTTTGTCCTTGTTCACAGCAATATTACATTTCTCTATAACCCCTCATTCTCCCCTCCACATCACTCCCTCTCCTCATCCTTAGGTATTAGGGTGTGATGACCTTGCAGAATAGTAGCTAAGCTTAACATCGCTGGATCCACAAAAGGGTGTGAACATCAACGACCTCTCACCAGCAGCACCGCCAGAAATTCAAGCTCCAGCACCTGTCTGTTGTCCAGCAGCATTAACCTGGCGCCTTGTCCACATTCGGTGTAGCCTCGTGCACGTGCCAGGCAGTGTAGCTGCCTCTGCCCCACACTCAAGTCCCCCTCCTCCCCCTCCACCTCTCCCCTTTCCTACCCATCCTGCACCCCCTGCCACAGCACTGTAGAGCCTCCAGACCCTACAATAATTATACAATTATTGTAGGGGCTGCATTATTGGAGTCTAGAGTTCTGGGGGTAGAATTATTGGTACTCCTTTATTGGAGTTACCATTATTGGAGGTACAATTATTGGTGTGGATGGATGGATGTGAGCAGGGTAGCTGATAGCATAAATGTCCTGCTGTGTGGTTTCATAATCAATCCATTCCATTGCAAAGCTTCCAGTTCTGTTCTCTTATACAATCAAGCCTTCCGCTACGACGGCACTATGCCTATCTAGCATGGTATCAGAGCTACTCTAGGGGGCATGCTGCCGAAATTTGGTCAGAACTCTATCATCATTCACATTGGACAGGCATATTAGCAAATTTGCAAAGCAAGTGGCAACATTTGAATAGAAGGCATGGAAAAGTTCGACTATGAAGTGTCAGAATGTGATGTTTCTGTAGCCTGCAGTGGGGTACTCTATAGCGAGTACAGCCCGAATTAGGGTTTGCTATATGTACTGAACTGCATGCTAGTGAAAACCCCTCTTTCCTGTTTCTTGTTTCTGCCTAGCATTTCAACATGGTATCAGAGCAGGTCGACCCTCCTGGGTCGATCCTGTGGGTGGGTCCCACCCGATGCTTCCGCTGCTCTACTGCTTGTAGCGCGCCCCGGGCGCGTGCTGTTCCCTGCCTGCCGCGCGCTCCGGGCGCGCAGCGATTTTCTGCCCCGTCGAACCGTCGCGTCGCCCCCCGTCGCCTGACGCGGCCCGCACGACCTGCGCCAGGCCCGCGCGCGGCCCGTACGGACTGCGCCAGGCCCGCGCGCGACCCGTACGGGCTGCTCCAGGCCCGCGCGCGGCCCGTACAGCCCGCGCGCGGCCGGTATGGGCTGCGCCAGGCCCGCGCGCGGCCCGTACGGACTGCGCCAGCCCAGCGCGCGGCCCGTACGGGCTGCGCCAGGCCCGCGCGCGGCTCGGGCAGCCCGCGTGCGGTTCGTACGGGCTGCACCAGGCCCGTGAGCGGCCCGTACTGTCTCCCCCCTTGCCGCACGCCATCCCCCGAGCTCCTGACTGCGCCCCACCCCGCTGCTGCCTGCGTTCCTGTGTTAGGGTTTGGGGGTGGAGAGTATGGGGGTGCCGTGTGTGTGAGCCGTCCCCTTCTCCTCCTCCTCCTCCGTCTCCCACTGCTGCAGCTGCCGCTGAGGGGGGTGGATGTGTTGGAGCCGTCGGAGTCGTTCGAGGGGGGTGGCGTGTGAGCAGTGCTAGAGGTGCAGCAGGGAGTGTGTGAACGGGGTGTGTGACAGTTGAGGGAGGTTGACCGGAGGTAGCCGACTTGTCGTCCGCAGCGCCTGAAGTCCAGAGAGCCACGACCCCATGTAGCCTGAGTAGTCCGGGGCTCTGCGCCCGGTAGCCACAGTGTGAGCACTCCTGGTAGTCCAGAGAGCTACGACCCCCTGTGGCCTGAGTAGTCCGGGGCTCTGCGCCCGGTAGCCACAGTGTGTGCACTCCTGGGAGCACAGTGAGCCAGCTGCGCCTGTCGCCGTGTAGTCCGGGTTTAGCCTGGTAGCGACAGTGCTGCGCACTTCTGCTGCCTGTGTGTCTGCAGCTTCAGCCATCGCCTCCCATCTTCTTGCCCTCACAGTTTCTCCTCCTCCTCACTTGCCCTCTGTGACTGCCTCTAGCTTTGCTTATACTTGTGAACTACTGCTTTGCCTGCTTGTTGTTTTGATTGTACCCCACTTTGACTATGGGGGTGTGTCAGAATGTGATGTTTGTGTAGCATGCAGTGGGGTACTCTATAGCGAGTACAGCCCGAATTAGGGTTTGCTATATGTACTGAACTGCATGCTAGTAAAAACCCCTCTTTCCTGTTTCTTGTTTCTGCCTAGCATTTCAACATGAAGTCGATGCTGGATACGAGGCGTTTGAAGAAGCAATCTTGGCTCAACATGAGCACATGGAGAATATGATTGCAATGGCACCACCGACACTTCAAGCGTCATTGTGGGCAAAGTTCAACATACCAAGGGCATCACACTCTCCATCAAGCACTCCGCGCACTAATCAAACCCATGCTTCAAATGTGCATGCAGGAATTGAAGGTGAAGGGGAGGGAAGCGTACTACAAAGAGGAGAGTCATCCCAAAGGAGGGATGCATCCATCCAAGGGGAAGGGAGCTACCACCCCGCACCTCAATCAACAATGCCAAGGAAATCAAGGGAGAGAGATGATGGATATGGGAGTGGGATGAATGGAAGGAGACGAGATAATGAGATTGAGATGGGACAAGAAAGTGGAAGATTTGGTCAAGCGGGCGTGGAAGGAGTGGGATTCGAATCCTACACTATTGGCGCTCCCCCACTTCGACGTCTTGCTACTAACTCTCATCGCATTGGAGTTCCCGTAATGGGCAGATCTCACCTTTTGGGCACCAATTGTGTGCCTCCTCGTGCGCCACGGTCCCAAATGGAAGATGTACCTGCAGGGAGCATGGGACGCACGGGACATGGGATGTAGTCAAGTGGTGTTATCAGACGTGATCGTGTGGAGGTGGTGGAGCAACGCTCGTATGGTCAAGACGGTGGAACACAACGCTCGGTTCAACTGCCATGCCCTTCTACCATACCGACTCTCTACGACCCGTCTCCACGCGAGAACACAGAGGAAGACAAGGACAGGCTGTCACGCAAGATGGTGGGGTCGGCAGTGGACAAGGCGTTCACTACTACTCCATTCAACGGCACAAACTTTCGCGAGTGGGCACATTGGTTTCGAATGAACGCGCGCGTGACAAACCTATGGGAATTCTTCGTGACACTTCAATACCTGGTTGTCAGAATCAACTAACGAGAATGAATGAACTATGAAAGAGTTGGGTACAAGTACTAACACTAATTAGGTTGTACCCCTTATGGGCTACCCCATTATAGCCTACACAAATGTAAGCACTAAAACATTATGACACACCCCCATAGGCAAAGTGGGGGAGAACAAGTGGTCACAAGACCAGTCAAGAAAAGCAAAGCAAGCTCAGGGTGGATCACAAAGTCACCACACAGTCCGAGCACAAGCAAATGGCCACAAGGCCAGTTCACATGCAGAGTTATATAAAAGAGAACAAACAATACGGTGATCATTCCCTGGCAAGTGTAAGCATGCAGGTATATGTATAGATCACAGTACAAGCAAAGTCATGCAGTGAGCAAATGAGGCAAAGTAGGTACAAGGCCTAACACAGTAGAGAAACGCTGATGATCACCAGGCGGAAGTGCCTTGGTGAATATATCAGCAGTGTTGGCCCTAGTAGCCACGTACGCAAGATGAAGCTAGCCACGCTGCTGCAATTCTCGAGCAAGGAAGTATCGCAGAGCGATGTGCTTCATTCTGTGCTCCAGTCTGTGCTCCTGACACAAGGCAATCATGGCCTTGTTGTCTACGTACAAAACTGGAGGCGTACGAGGCTTCTCTCCCAAGTCAGTCAGCAGGTAGGTGAGCCAGCGTAGCTCCTGTGCAGCCATGGCCTCTGCGTAGATCTCAGCCTCACAACTAGAGCTGAGAACCGAAGACGAGCGGGTAGACCGCCAAGAAACAGAGACGGAACCAAGGTTGAAGGTGTAACCCTGTGACGACCGCTGCGTAGCTGAGTCGTCAACCCAGGAAGCGTCTGCGTGATCAGTGAGGACAATTGGACCCCGTCCTCCAAGCACGAGCCCCATGCCTGACGTACTGCACAAGTAACGCAGTACCCTCTTCGCAGCATCCGAGTGCACCTTTCGGTGCCTACCGGGAGCCACGTAGCAAGCCAGAAGGCTGAGAGGGTACGCGAGGTCAGGTCGTGTGCACGTCATTAGGTACATGAGGCAACCCACAAGCTCTGGGTACGGACCACTCGGCTCTACGGTCTCGTCCGAAGGTGGAGCTGAGAGCAAGTGGCCGGTAGACAGAGGAGTGGGCTGTGGCGAGGAGAACTGGAAGCCGAAGCGCTGAATGACTTGGTGCACCATGTGTGACTGAGTCCGGGTGATGGTGCGCCGTGCTCTGTCGCGGGTGATCTGCAAGCCAAGATAGATGTGCAGTTCACCCAGGTCAGTGCAGGTGTGTCTCTTCTGCAGCTCCGACTTCACAAGGGTCAGTGCCTTGGTGTCAGCAGTGGCAAAGACCAGGTCATCGACGTAGACGAGGACGTAGAACGGCGGCAGCGAGGTGTCGGTGCGTAGAAACAGCAACGGGTCAGCAGTAGAAGGAGCAAACCCAAGAGCCGCAAGTGTAGTCCTCAGTGTGTCGTGCCACTCGCGAGGTGCCTGGCGGAGACCGTAGACTGGCAGCCAGAGACTCCACTGGGTTCCTGCAGGAAACGACCCAGTGAAGCCAGGTGGGCGGCGCAGCGAGATCTCCTCGTGCAGGCTGCCCTGCAAGAAAGCTTTGCTGAAGTCAAGAGAGTGCAGCTCGTAGTCACGCTGAGCAGCGACGTGCAGCAACACCCGAAGAGTGGTCATCTTTGGGGTGGGGGAGAAGGTCTGGAAGTAGT